TTTATCCCACGCTGGTACAGCTTTGGAGCCTGTGTTTCCCTATAAGCCCCCTTGGCTTGTTGAGTTTCTCTTAGCTCTTGCCTTTAATGCCCTGAGTAATTTAAACTTCAGAATCCTGTCCCACAAACAGGATGGGGTGAGTGGTGGGCATCTCACTGACTTTCTTAAAATCAGATCCTGGTGGTTACTCCCTGAGAATGGCCTTTGGTTGGTGGTGCCAGTATAGTTATGTACTTGGTTAGCATTCCATTCAGATGCAGAAGGGCTAAACACAGTTGAGAAAGCTATCATGAAAGGAAATGTGATAAGCCTTGCAAAAACCCCATCAAGCCAGTGGAATGTGTCAGCAGGAGGATGAACTTTTATGTCTTGTGAAAGGAAATAGGCTATTTTATGTTTTCTAGTTTTTATGGGAAGAGCCATGTTTATATTTGTTTTTGCTCAGAATTATATCCAGTGTTTAAATGGGACTGGACTCACAGTAGGTGGTTTGTTTAATTGCTTAAATTTCTCTAGTTTGGCCTAAGCCCCCAAAGTACTAACTGAGGTACAAGAAATAGAGACATCTAGAGAAGTATCCCATGGTAGGGGCTCAGGCACTGGAGGGATATCTGAAACCTTGGATCATCGCTACTCCTTTGGTTCTAAGATCAGGTCAGACAATCCCTAGGGAAGGATACATGTCTGATGCCTTGGGGACAGTCTGCCTGCTGAGCAGGACCAGTTCATTCCTCTTAGGGGCTGGGTGGTGGCTGCCACTACCAATGCTGCTGCTGCTGAAAATGTATTTACTGCACAGCTGATTGTATGCCATGCCTGGCACTAAACTGAGTGCTTCATACGTATAATCCCATTTAATCTTTACAATAACATTATGAGGGGATACAATTTTAAAGCCCTTTTTCTTAGATAAACTGAAAACTAAAGAGATTAACTGACATGCCCATGTTGCCACAGGAAATGGTAGAGCTGGGATTCAAATACAGGAAGCCTGATTTCTGAGCTCACTTGCTTAATCTATATAATACTGACACCCCCATTTCTTATTTTTCAGTTCTGCTTCTCCCTGTGATGTGTGAGATCTTGACTTCTGCTCCTGATCTCAGTTTACTCTTTGAGTTCACTACTAATTCTAGCACTCCATAGCTATTCCTTTATAGAAGGAATTATAGCAGCTTATTTTCTGGGCAAGTTGTGAGTTCATCTGCCATCATTTTCTAATGTGGATGTCTAGTGTCCTCAATCAGATTCCTTCAGAATTGACTGAACCTTTTATGTACCTTTATATGCCATGAAAGGAAAGCGTCATGGTCTCTTCAAAATAGTTTGTAAACAAAATGCTTTGTCAACATCAGTACTAGTTGTTATTGCTAGTATTATTCCTGGTTTTACTAAAGTGATGCAACTTAGCATTCTTTTATTGCATTCCTACCTTAGTTTTCAGGCTAAGTACTTTGTAGACATTTTCCCTAGATACCACAGTAGCCATTTTATAAGGTAAGAAAAGAGTGTAATAAGGCTAAATGCCTTGCTTGCTCTGCCACAACTTATCAATGCCAGTACCTATTTGATCTCTCACTTCAAGGTTCATGGGTTTCTTGTTTGTCTTTTGCTTTTTTCTGCTGTCATGGTTATTTATATCATGGATTGGGGAAGCAGCTAAATCAGGCGGGGTATGTGTAATTATAGAAATTTCCCAAGTCTTGGGGCAGTCGCAGCACAACTTGAGGAATAAATTCTCATCTGGAGCTGAAGAGCTGGGCTAGTATCAATATGGTATTAATACTGCATTTTTAATCGTGAGCTCAAAGGAGTTGGGGGGAAAGTGTGGGTAAGTTAGATATGGTGAGGGGTCAAGAGTTGACAGTACAAAGTGCACAACAGGGAACATGGTCAATATATGCTAGCAGGCAGGATTGTAATTAGCCTGGGAAGGGTTCTTATTAGTTTTAGAGTTTAACTGGCAAAAAATTGGCAGCTAAGTGAAAGATCTGGGAAGAGGGTAAGATAGTTCCTTCTGCCTGGCTAGTCTTTTCAGGGAAACTGAGTTTGAATGAACCTTCTACCTGAATCACTCACAGTACTGTCCAGCCTTGTGTATAGAGGAGAGGGGCTTTATATCAGACGAGGATCCTGCTTGGAGCGGTGTTCTCAGGTCATGGTTGGGGTAGACATGGTTCACGCTCTTTCCATGCCTGATGCTATAGGAGGGACTCAAGTTCCCTGGCAAAGCATGACAAGTTCAGGAATCATTGACATTCTCTTCTGCCTCAGAGAGCCTCATGAAGTTGCACATAGCTGAAATAATTTGGGGGATGGATGTGAGCACAGTATATTTCTTTTTCGAAGTAGTTGACTTAGATAGGGAGGGAGGAAGCTTTTTAATTAAAGGAGGAGTGGTATGATATTCCAGAAAGCTGGGGAAAGAATCTGCTGGTACTTTTACAAGTTGGCAGACTTGTTTAATTAGCTGATATGCAGTGCCAGCTCTGGGAAGAACAGATGTCCCTATGCATTGTAAGGTAACATGCTCTGGATCCAAACACCAAATGTTGCCCTCAGTCTGTTGTCCCAGATGATGGCAGAGATAACTTAAGCTGTTGGTGTAGATGAGAAGGCTTGCCTAAATCATGAGTTGAGGATTCTATCAGTATTCTGTACAATTGCTGCCAGACTCATGGCATTTAAAGATTCAGCATTTATAGTTTCAGATACTCACACGGGACCACAAGGCTTCATGATACGTGGTAATTGATAATTGTGTTGAGGCATAGATTTGAGTCATAATATGCTGCAAGGCTAGTGTGTAGGAGTGGGTCATTCAACTTAATAAATCAATCCAGCCCATTCTATCACAGCTTGTACAGATAATTACATGCTACAAGGCAGCATTTCGTGAGTAAGGTTTAGAGAACCCTCATTAGTAAGTGTAATAGGACAGTTAAAAAAAAAAGCTGGAGGCCTCCCTGGTGCCTAGGGGTTAAGTCTCAGCGCTATTACCTCTAGGGCTTGGGTTCCATCCCAGCTGGGAGCTGACCCACATGGCATAGCAGACCTCTCCTGCCTTGCTCACTGCTCCCCTTAGCAGTGTGATTCAGTAGATCTACCTGTTCTGCTCCCCACTCTGTCTATGGTGAATTCTCTCACCCCCCCATACCTCTGGTCTACACCACAGTCCTTCTATGAAGAATAAAAGAAAAAAAAAAAAAAGCTGGAAATAATGCTGGGTTAAAAAAAAGTTAGATAGTTGTTTTGCAGCTTTTCATCCCGTTTGAACTGAGTGACTTGTGCCAGATTTTCTGAGCCTTAGTTTCCTCGTCTGTAAAAATAAGATAACATAAATAGTACCTACTTCATAGTGTCATTATCAAGGTTAAATGAGGTTACGTTTATGAAGCATGCAGCACATAGTAGGTACTAGATGTATGCTATTTCCCTTCCAGTAGATGGGAAGTGGGATTTCTGGGAGGTAGAATTGACTTCATGGAATATTTGGCTGACTACAATGCAAGGCTAAGTATGGGGGGATGTTTTAATATATCTTTGCACTGACTCCCCCTTTTCAGTATTCATAGAGAAAGAGTTGATGACATTTGCAAGGCTTTTCCAGTCTGCTGCATTGTCCTTAGACCAACCTAACCTGCCCTAGACCTTCTTGATGATTGTCTGCATATCACAAGACTGCACAGGTGCAGCGGCAGGATTTGCATTTAAGAAGGGCTGAATTTATCCATATGGCTCACCTTGCAGATCTAGTCATTCTAATTTGGGGTACAAGCTGACAAGGACAGAAGGCAAAAGATCACTGAGCACTTGGTGGTTCTACTTCATGAGCATTTGTGGCTCAAGAAGCATGGGGGGAGTGTTCATAGCACATACAGCAAGGCTGTTCCAGGTCAAAAATAAACTATTTTCTTAAGGCACCACCATTTTTTCAGTTATCCAGGCTTGAGACTGGCTTTCCTATCTTCTTCACTTTACCCTAATATACTAAGCCTAGAAATCTTAGTGATTGTGCCTCTAGAAGTGCTCAAACGCACCCTTCCATTACTACCACCTGCTCCCTAGTTCAGGCTTCCCATTGGCTCCCCCAGGCAATTTTGCAGTGCTTTCCAAACTAGTTTCTCTGCCTTTCCCCTACTTCATTCAGCCTTTAATCACATCAGTTCCCTGCTCCACAAAATGTATTGCTTCACTGTGCCCATCACAATGAAGTTCAGAGGTCTCATTTTGGCTCTCAAGACTTCTAATAATCATTTTCCCACTTACCTTTCCATATCAATTACTCTAATTTCCCCATGAGCTCATAATTTTAATCTAAGAATGACAGAAAAGAGAACCAAAATTTATTTACGACTTTTTTGAGGCTGAGCCAAATCTTAGCATTATATACATATATTATCTCATTTAATCATTCCATTGACCTTGCGAAGGAAGTATTCTCATTTTACAAATGAGGGAACAAACCCACAACCCCGATGTTCTCTGTTCTCCTAGTACACTGAAGTTGCTATCCTTTCCCTGGCTTTCTAACTCTTGTTCAGATTATGCCCTTTGCCTGCTCCTCCCTTTCCCCCCTCTCCATATATCTGGGCACCTGAGCCCTTATCAAATGCTGTCCTATCTCAGAAAATTCTGTTCCCTTCAAGTTAAAGTGAATCCCTCATAGCCTCCATCAAACTTAGTTTACATCTCATTTATGATACTACCTTCTGCCTTGGTTATGATTTACCTACATGTCTTGCCTCCTTTCCTAAAGTTTGAGCATTTGAAGAATAGGGTTTATGTCCAGAAAACCTTAGTATCTATCACATTACATGGTACCTGTCTTAGGTGGATGGAGGAGTACATAGGAGAGATGAACGGAAAATACATATATTTTCTGATCTAATATTTTACTGATTGCCTAAAACTAATCATTATAATTTTCTATTTCTCTGGATGATCCGAGGGCCCCCAAACATGAAATGATGTGGCGCGTGCACGTGCACACACACAAACACACACACACACACACACACACACGCCTCCCTACTTTGCTCACAGTTTTCTTCTCTTAAAATGCCTTTGTCATTGTCTTGTTTCTTTCAAAACATCTCAGGAGTGGCAGCTGCTTCTGGGATGCCTTGCCCAGTTCCTCTAGGCAGAATCCTCTACTCTATCCACATGCTCCTGTGGAACTTTGTGTGTAATCCTTTCCTGTACATAATTTTCTATGCTTTCTCCTAATATAGATTGAGTTGCAGGTTTCACAGAATATACAATAAATCATCTGCTTTTATTAAACACATTACCTACCAGGTGGCAATACTAAGTGTATCATAATCATGTTACTAACCCTTCCATAAATTGATAAGGTAGACACCATTATTAATTCTGCCTTATAGCTAGGTGATGCTTTTTGCAGATAGCTGAGCTTTGGAGAGTTTAGGTTACCTCCTTAGAAGTAACACCACTAAGGCATATTCAAAGAATCTGAATGCTTTTCTACTATGCAGTGCCTTGTCTGCTTTGTTTCCTGGTGTGCCACCATCACCTAGCAGAGTCAAGTTCAATCAGAGTTGTGAAATAAGCCAATGAGTGAGTGTTGACGGCTATTATTTAAGTATTTCTGAAGTAAATTAATTCATACAGGCAACAGAATAATGACTTCTTTTTTCTCTTCAGCAGGACTTGGCCCTTCAGAGCATGAATGCTGAGCTGTTTAGTTCTGGGCTGTGCTAGTAGGACCCCTCAAAGGAAGAGCAATGGCTGCTGCAGCAGCTTCTCACCTGAACCTGGATGCCCTCCGGGAAGTGTTGGAGTGCCCCATCTGCATGGAGTCCTTCACAGAGGAGCAGCTGCGGCCCAAGCTCCTGCACTGTGGCCATACCATTTGCCGCCAGTGCCTGGAGAAGCTTCTGGCTAGTAGCATCAATGGGGTCCGCTGTCCCTTTTGCAGCAAGATTACCCGCATTACCAGCCTGACACAGCTAACAGACAACCTGACAGTGCTGAAGATCATTGACACAGCTGGGCTCAGCGAGGCTGTGGGGCTGCTCATGTGCCGGGCCTGTGGGCGGCGGCTGCCCCGGCAATTCTGCCGGAGCTGTGGCATGGTGTTATGTGAGCCCTGCCGGGAGGTAGACCACCAGCCTCCTGGCCACTGTACACTCCCTGTCAAAGAAGCAGCTGAGGAGCGGCGCCGTGACTTTGGAGAGAAGTTGGCCCGTCTGCGGGAGCTTATGGAGGAGTTGCAGCGGAGGAAGGCAGCCTTGGAAGGTATCTCCAAGGACCTTCAGGCCAGGTATAAAGCAGTGCTCCAGGAATATGGCCATGAGGAGCGCAGGGTCCAGGAGGAGCTGGCCCGCTCTCGAAAGTTCTTCACAGGCTCTCTGGCAGAGGCTGAGAAGTGCAATAGTCAAATGGTAGAGGAGCAGAGTTACCTGCTTAATATTGCAGAGGTGCAGGCTGTCTCTCGCTGTGACTACTTCCTGGCCAAGATCAAGCAGGCAGATGTGGCACTACTGGAGGAGACAGCTGATGAGGAGGAGCCAGAGCTCACCGCCAGCCTGCCCCGTGAGCTCATCCTACAGGATGTGGAGCTCCTTAAGGTTGGCCATGTTGGCCCCCTCCAAATTGGGCAGGCTGTTAAGAAGCCCCGGACAGTCAACATGGAAGATTCCTGGGCCATGGAGGCCGCAGCTTCTGCTGCCTCTTCCTCTGTTACCTTTAGAGAGATGGACGTGAGCCCCGAGGAAGTGGCTGCCAGTCCAAGGGCCTCACCTGTTAAGCAGCGGGGTTGTGAGACAGCCACCAATATCCAGCAGTGCCTCTTTCTCAAGAAGATGGGGGCCAAAGGCAGCACTCCAGGCATGTTCAACCTTCCAGTGAGTCTCTACGTGACTGGTCAAGGCGAAGTTCTGGTTGCTGACCGTGGCAACTACCGTATACAAGTCTTTACCCGCAAAGGCTTTTTGAAGGAGATCCGTCGCAGCCCCAGCGGCATTGATAGCTTTGTGCTGAGCTTCCTTGGAGCTGATTTGCCTAATCTCACACCTCTCTCAGTGGCCATGAACTGCCACGGGCTGATTGGTGTGACTGACAGCTATGATAACTCCCTCAAGGTGTATACCTTGGATGGCCACTGCGTGGCCTGTCACAGGAGCCAGCTGAGCAAACCCTGGGGCATCACGGCCCTTCCATCCGGCCAGTTCGTGGTAACTGATGTGGAAGGTGGAAAGCTCTGGTGCTTCACTGTTGACCGAGGAGCAGGGGTGGTCAAATCCAGCTGCCTCTGCAGTGCTGTGCGGCCCAAGTTTGTCACCTGTGATGCTGAGGGCACTGTCTACTTCACCCAGGGCCTGGGCCTCAATCTGGAAAATCGGCAGAATGAGCACCACCTGGAGGGTGGCTTTTCTATTGGCTCCGTGGGTCCTGACGGGCAGCTGGGTCGCCAGATTAGCCACTTCTTCTCAGAGAATGAGGATTTCCGCTGCATCGCCGGCATGTGTGTGGATGCTCGAGGTGATCTCATCGTGGCTGATAGTAGTCGCAAGGAAATTCTCCACTTTCCTAAGGGTGGGGGCTACAGCGTCCTTATCCGAGAGGGGCTTACCTGTCCTGTGGGCATTGCCCTCACTCCTAAGGGGCAGCTGTTGGTCTTGGATTGTTGGGATCATTGCATAAAGATTTACACCTACCATCTGAGAAGATACTCTACCCCATAAGGCAGGAGAAATGCCCATACCTCTGCCAACTTTCCTCTCCTTGTTCCTTGGGTGTTGATGGTACTATAGAGTAGACTCAGCCTGTGTCCTATTTCTATTGGCTTCTTTGGAAAATTTCTTTTAGTGCTTTTTATTTGCATTATTTTCCTCTTGAATTTAGAGCTTTAATAGATGCAGTACCCCAAATAGTACACATGATGGGATTAGCTGGTTTGATTAGAACTTAGGCGCTTCCAAGTCTTCAGTGGTTTTTGCTGTGGTATTTGAAGTTTGCCCTTGTATTGAATCCATGTTCATTTTCCTCTCTTGGCTTTGATAACCCTGTCATTTTCCTCCTATATATTTCCTACTATGCTTCATCTGAGACACTTTCTCTTCTGCTCTGCTGCATTCAGTGTGCAGGCCCCAGCATGCATCTTCTCCACCTTTCACTGAGTTTCAGTCATTGTATTCCTGTGGCATGATGTCACAGATCTGATCCCCTAGCCTGTGTAACAGCTCATTCACTTGGTGCCAGTAGGTGACAGTCCCGTCCAGAGACAGAACCTTTCAGCCCTGAGGGTTTTGTACCTTCTTGGATTGTTCTCTAAATGCAGATACGACAGAGAATGGATTGACCCTAGATGATGGGTGTTGAAGCCTTTAGTCTAGAAATTGCTTGCCTTTTGAAGGAGCATGTGGATTGGAATTACACCAAAGGAGGAAGATGGGAACAAACAAACATAAATGCTCACAAGTCAGCGCACACTCTTGGATAGTGTTCAGGGCTCATCATTTTTCATGCTGTCTCTCCCCACTGACCTGTGCTAAGAGTTGTCTAAAGAACTGCATAGCACAGGCCAGGGGAAACAAGCTGGGGAGGTGGACACACCTAATTTTCATTACTAAAACAAAACTGTTGGATCCTTATTCTGTATTTTTCCCAAGTGAGTACATAATTCTTGGTTTTGGAGTTTATTTCCATCTCTGTCAAACATTAAATAATTGGTAACTATTTCTTCATCACTGGTGTTCATGCATTTTCATTAAATGTGGGACTTGGGGAGGGTAAGTTGTACTATGCTGTTTTGCTTCCCTGTCTGACACTGCCGGCTTTGAGGGCATTTAGGATCTACCCAGGTCAAAATTCTGCGTTAAGCACCATTACGTAAAGATAATCCAAATCTCATTCCCACATACATGTATATAGAATCAGCCCCCAAGGTTTAGAGTCATCAAACACTCCATTCTAAATTGAGCCTCTACCATTTGTTTTATCCTTATAATTACAATTTGTAAAAGGAAGACACTTTGTTTAAGACCAGAAGTGGGTGAGGAAACTTTTGACAAGGTTCCTGAGGCTTTCGTGTTTGCTAAATAACATATCTTTCTCTTTAGGTACAGGGCTGATAGCAGGCCAAACAGCTATTACCTTGCTTTCATGGAAACAAAATTTACTAACCTTAGCTACTCAAAATTGTTTTTTTTTTGTGTGTGTGTGTGTATGGTGGCATTATTTTTTTGGCTTCTGTCGTGATAGCTGCCAAAGGATAGAAAACGAGATAATTAAAGTGATGCTGAACTGGTTTGTCTTGTGTTTTTCACCTGCAGAAAGCCCCAGGTTCTGATTATGAAATTGCATCTGATTTTCAAAGATTGCATAATTGAGAGGAAATTGATCCAATTAAAAGTGCATCACAAATGACTCCACTAGTGGTTATAACCACTTTGTCTCTGGCGGCACCTGGCAGCAAGAGATCTGTCTTTGCTGTCAGTGGGGGACTTGCTGAGGCACTAGCAGTGGCTGAGGCCCTTGGCGCATGGTGCACAGCACGGACATGAATCTAATATTGTGGGCTGGCTTCAGTTAAATGAGGCCAGTAATCTAGCTTCTGGTAATCTGGGAAAGGGAAGTATTGCTGATTGGCCTTCAGCATGTAGGACTTCACCATCTCCGACTCACGCATGCCTTTGCCCTCAAGTACAGCAAGTATTTGCTGGCTCAAAGTGGAAATATGTGCGGTCTGAATGTTTTTGTTTCTTTGATGTGGATATATTAGGCTGTGCTTAGTACAGTCAATTTTCAGTTATCTACCATGTTGATTAAATTGCTTATATGGCCCCAAGAAACAAATTTGCTCAATTAGAGCATTTTTTTTTTTTTTTTTTTTTTAAGCAGCAGCGCCCTTATTCAAATAGTTCTACATGGAATTGTATCATGTAAAATATATCAAAGGGTAGCTGCTGTGGTTGAAGCAGGTTTGTGGGCCTGGAGAACAGACTTTATCTCCCACTTAGCCTCCTGTGTACTATTGCAAAATTCTTAGAAATCTGTGGAACACTTCCAAAATCCATGGAACGGTTGCTTATTAGCCATGTGGCATTCAACAAGTATCATTTAGCCCTTCCTTTTTCAAAAGTGATGAAAATAATCCCTTCCTCCAGGAAGTGTGTTAGGTATGAGATCACAGATGTGAAAATACTCCAGTTCGGTTCCTGGCATACTCAGTAAGTGATGGCTATTCTTTTATTAAGCTGTTCAAAAGAGTGACATAAGGCCGACCAACCACGCCAAATACCTCCCCTCTTGCCTATTTGACAGGTTCCTTTTTTTTTGGCATCCAAAGCCATTCTCAGGCATCTCAATCTCCAAATAAAGCTGATCACCTGTTCCTTTTTACTCTTGCGCTACCTATTTCATGCTTCAGTTGCATAAATCACTGCATTGCAGTTGTTTATGCATGGATCTGTGCTTAGTGAAGGCTAACTTTAACCTCTAGTTATGAGTGCATTAGCTGGTTCCTAACCCAGAGTGTACCTTCAGTTATTTAGTTGTCTGTGATCTGATGGACTTGATGGTGAAGGTAGGTCCTCCAATAACCTGAATCCTCCCAACACAGCCCCCTCACATTGATTAAAAAGGTATTCTCAAGCAAGCTCTTATATAAAATACTAAAGGCAAAAAAATCTTACAGGTTAGTTGAGCCCCTTTATCATCCGGAGTAATTATATGCAATTTAAGGTTTTGGAGCAGTGATTTAATATTGAGTACCTACTGGGGCCAGGCAGCCTGCCAGATGTTCAGAAGTGAAAATTTTAATGATAACTCATACTAATGTATTGGCATGTATAAATTCTCATAAATTATTCAGTCTTTTCCACCTGAAGTACTGAAAATCTAATGTTTTCGTGCCCTGGACTTCCTCAGAGACCCTGTTATAGGCAGGGTCTGACTGGCTGTGAGGGTCAGTCCCCAGGTACTCTCCAGCCTGAGTTAGTCCACAGAGAGACACTCCATTATTCCAATCAGTAGGATAAACTTGGCTTGAGTCTTACGGTGGTCCCATGGGGAAGGCAAGTAGTGCTTAAGTAGTTGTACTTTTAATCTAGTACAAATTAATGGCCTCTTGCCAGTGAAGTGTTACCTAGCTCTGTAGGAGGGAAATGAAAGGCAGAGCCTAGTAGGAAGCTCATGGCTCTACCTTGCACCTGACTAGGCTGCTGATTTGTACTCAGAATGTGCATTCCCACAGAGGATCTCCAAAATAATTACAGATATGAGACAGCAGATGCCTGCATGAATTTTACAAGCAGGGCAGTAGGTAGAAGGCCGTTTAGCAAAATACACACTTAGACCTATGGCTTTGTCTTGGCAATATCATTAATATTCCTGATCCCCTGCCTAAGTCTCAAGTTAGGGAGGCAGCTCTGGGATTGGCTATGTATTCTGTTGGGAAGGTCACTAGACTTGGTCTGGGTCTGAATCACAGCAAGCTATGTGGACTCAGGTGGTCACCATATCTCTACATCTCTACTTTGCCTATTTATGAAAGGAGGTTGGACTAGAACAGTAATGTTCCTATTGCTCTATGATTTTAATGAAATTTTTAACCAACTGGAATTGTGGTCAGGTTTTCTCCCAGTGTTTTGCATAAGTCTTGCCATTATTCACATTAGAGTAGCAGAAAGAACGTGCATTTCATAATCACCCCTACCTTGGTGACCTTGGTCACTTACTCCAGCTATTGTCACTCTGCTGAGCTAGCTAACTCATCTGGTTAGAGGAATTGGCAATTTATGTTTTGGTTGTGAAAATTAAAAGATATTAATGGGATGGTATGTGTAAAAGTACCTAACTCAAAAACTCAGGTGCTCAGAAAATGTGACTTCTGTTGTAGGGTGGCAAAGGCTTCTTCTTGTGATCTGATGCCAGTTTTCCAGTTTCCCCAGTTAACCTGGAGGAATTTCAGAACTGTGTTGGCGATGTACCAGCATTGCTCAGCTCCTTAATTAAAAAAACTTTTGGAGGGAGAGTGGGCTGGAGGATCAGAGAGAAAACTCATTCACAGCAATGTGTCCTGCTAGAAAAACTTCACATAAAACCCAAAGATTAATTATTTGATTAAAGTAATTAGGATAGCTTCTTCATTCTCTTTGAACAGTTAAATAGAATCAAGATTGTGTGTATGTGTATCCCATATCACAGAGACATGCATATTTAGCTATTCCTATAGTTGACTCACAAGTTTTTTTTTTTTTTTTTTTTCCCTCCAGGTCAACATTCATTAACTCAAATAATTACAAAACTTACCTTCTCCAACAGTGAGATTTATAGGTTAATACAGTATAGAGTGGTTAAAACTTGTTTTAGTTTCATAATAGCATAAAATTTGGACTTTGTAAGCATGGGGGTAGGGAGCGGGGGCTGAATTCAGTCCTAGTTTCCCTTACTTACTCTATGACCCCCGAGTCAGTTAACCTCTCAGCCTCAGTTTCCTCATCAGTAATAAAATGATACTTTTTAACTGCATTATTCTGAAGAAATGATGTCTGTGAAAGCAAATTTCATAAATCTGTGGCAGTGGATATTTTTAAATTATAGTAAATTAACTATTTGAAGGTTATCTTTTTGTGATAGAAGAATATGAAACTGGTGAGGGAAACATTTCCCCAAGAGCAAAATATTTACTAACCTAAAATCTTGATTGAGAACTTGGAGAATGGGTGTGTAAGTCAAACGCATGTTTTTCCTCTACAATTAAACCCATAATTTGACCAAATTAGAAATCCAAAATTTACTGAAAGAATTTATACAATGGGGCCTCCCCTGGTGGCGCAGGCTGTTGAATGCTGTGCTGCGAAGCAGTCCGCAGCCTCTGCAGCACCTGTTCGATCCCAGCCGGCCAGTGAGGGTCCCACATGGCGCAGCAGACCTCTCCTGTCTCGCCCGCTGCTCCCCTCGGCAGTGTATTTCAGTCAGTCTGCCTGTTCTGTTCCCTGCTCTGTCTCTGGTGAATCCTGTCACCCTCCTGCGCATCTGGCCTGTACCCCAGGTCTTGTAAACATAAATCTTTAAAAAAAAAAAATTATACAACAGCAACAGAGATAAAAGGAGAAAAGGTTGCTGATTAGTATTTGCAGCTCTACAACCTGGTTTCTGATTTAAATTTTAGCATCAGCTGACATGTGCCAATTATCAGAAGTTCACAACCTTAACACTGAGGGTCAAATTAAGAGTTACATGGGGGAATTCTGCTAAATTTAAACAAGATATTCCCTGTAATATGGGAGGAGTTAACATTTCCTCAGTAAGGAAGCCAAGTATTTCTCACCTTAATGATCCGAACTACTAGATTGCTCAGATTCCCATAGCCATAATGCCTGTTACCCTAAAATATGCTGGGCATGAACGCTCTGACCCAATGAATAATAAATTAAAATTGAATCACGTTTTTACTACTGACAATTGGTACTTGCCAAAATGGGGCCACATGGACCTTCTAATCCCATTAGTTAAAATAGTTAATATGGCCCAGTAAACACAGCCTTGGGGGGTTAAAACCCATATGCAAGACTGATTTAGAAAAAGAGTAATTACTCCCACTGCTTCACCATTTAATGGCCCATTATCCTGTTCTTAAACCTCCTGGAAAGATGAATGGCACCTCAGGATGGATTACTGTAACCTTATTGCCAAAGTTCCACACATTAAAGCTCCCAGTACTAATTCTGACATTACTAATTCCATCCGATCAACAGCTGGTAAACATTTTGCAGTGATAGAGTTGGCAAATATGGTCCATGCCTTTGTCAACTAGTCTCATGGCCACGGTTTCCCTTCATTTTCATCGGGACCTAATACCCCTTTACCTGACTACCCCCGGGAACTCTCGGCAGCCATGCCTTTGCATACGGCCTACAGACACGATCTTAGCCACATCCAGCGTTATCCAGGAGCACAGAAATAACACCACACAGATGACATCCTTTCCTGAAAAGATCCATTTGACACACTCACTGATCACCTATATTCACGAAAGAATTCACCAGAAGGGGCAGGCCACTGCCTCGCACACAGTACCAGGTCCTGCCACCTTGGTTCCATTCCTGAAAATTTAAGGCCCATTTCATCCCTGACACTGTCAAAAACAGCATCCCCCTTGTCAATAGAAGCCCAGCCTCTTTCAAGCCTTTTTTCTTGGCGTGTGTGGCATCACTGAGCCAAATATTCCGCACATGGGAGGGGGGGAAGGGGGAAGGAAGGTCCATCCCACTATTCCAGAATGACAGGTGTTTAGCGTTAAAAACAACTTCCTGATATTCTTTGGATTTAACTACTGAGCAACGGATGAATAGAACCACATATTTTTGTGCAATATTTAATATTTAATCTTGAGAATAATAATCTCTCAGGTGCAAGGATCTGAAGCTTGTTTGACAAATTTAATGATTCTGTAGATGTGTTAGAAATAAAGCTAAATTAAAAATACTAGGACTCCATGGGCGGAGAGGGAACAACCATGCACGTTACTTCACCAGACCTAGGGAAATATACTTGGCACTGATTGCTACACTGGAAGAAAGGACACATACACATAGGCACCGGTTTCCTGGACCCTCCATGAAGGTCAATTAAGTGTCAATTCAGTGAAAGGTGCAAATGATGATGAAGCCAAAACCCCAAAGGTGGGTATTCTTCCCCCTGCTCTGGTGGGACTCAGCCACATATGCCTGTCTATCCCAACAAAATGAACAAAATGGGGATATTCAACCCAGCCTATTTAATATGTCTCAGGCTGTCCTTCAGTGTGTCATAACATCTTACACAAAAACTGGACAAAAATGAGCAGCATGGGAAGACTGTGAGTTGAAATAAAACCTCTCTGAGCAGACGCGACACTGGACATGGCAGGGGAAAAGCAGCTGCCTAAGGGAAGGCATTGCAAATGGGGAACTTGATTCTTACGCTGGAAGAGTGTCTTCCCCCTCTGGCTTCAACGATCTAGACAACGAGGTCCCAACCCTGCTTTCTTTCAGGGCTTACCTTCCCTTTGAACACAGACCGGTATGAACCCAAGTGCCCGCTTTATACTGCCATTAGTTGCCAAGGGTGGGCTGGTGCAGCACATGAGCTGTCCCATAGGAACTGGAGATTTGTCATATTCAAAACTGAGCTCAGTGCCAACAGCGCTTTTGTTCCATGTACAGAACACCAGCACCGACTGTGCTTGACAGAGACCTCACCCCATCTCCCACAGTTTCCCTCACCTCCCACCTCCAGCGTTCAGTCACAAAGCTGTCATCAAACTAGCTAATTCATATTTTCACTCCTATTTATATTCTTTTGTTCATCCTCATGACTACTGAAATTTAAGATGCTATGACTTTCCTTGTAAACCCTGCTGTACTTTCCAAATTGGTCTTCCCACCACTAATCTAGCATTCCAGATACACTTTCCCGTCCCACGTTGAGCGCTACTGCATGCCAGTGAGAGTCAAACTTTAAAATACATATGCTACTAATAATACGCGATTCCTTTAAATGGCCTTAAATGGCTCCTAGTTAGAAGTACAGGTTCCTTAATGCACTCCACACATCCAGTTGGATTTAATTCCTGCCTGACTGTATTTCTAGGTTTATCTCACCACGACTTCCATTCCTGCCCTAGCCATCTGCTCCACCCACACTTTTTTCTACCTCAGGGACATTTTTGTATGTGCTTTTTCTGTTCCCCAAAACACTTCCTCTCCTTACCCACCTATGTCATCCTAAATCTAGGCTCCCCCACGTATCCCAGGGTACCTTTCCTGATTTCCCACACAGTTGGGAGTCAGGGATCCATGCTACAATTTGTTTCTTCCTCAGCCTTTGCACATTGGGTTGTATTTTCCTGTGACTCTCCAAGACCAGACTGAACTGTGAAGTCAGAGCAACATCTAATTTATGGCTGCATCCTCAGCAGCTGGTATAGCACTCGAAATCTAGGAGGCTTTAAAATTGTTGCTGGATAAAACCAGGGCAAGGGGTCAGTGTGGCTCATATGTTGATTTATATAAACACTTTGGGTCATATTTAGCACCAGCTGGTTATGCCACCTCCTGCCCCTCCTACCAGCTGCTTCCGTGAATCCCTGGCTGTAACTGCAACAGAAAAAGGGATGTGGTTGAAAAGGGAAGAGGAGTGATTCTCTCAGATTGACTTCTCTTGAGCAGATCTTCCAAAATATTAAAAGTTGTGTGCCTTTCTGGAAACTCGACACAAACTTTGTGTTGCTGCAAAGTCACAACTGGAAGAAAAAGCTAAGAGAGATACCTGCGAGAGTATAGTATGAAAACTATATCTCATTAAGCATTTACAAACAAAATACATTCCTTTACCACGTTGTCTCCTGAATTGCCTCTCAACACACTTTGCTGCATAGAAAGCAGGAAGAGGGAGTTAGTTGGAGTCTTAATTCTGTCACTAATTTATAGTAACCTTTGAGCAAATTGCTCATTATCCCTGCAACTCCATTTCACTATATGAATAGATTTATTAAACCAAGGATCTTTTTAGTTGTAAATTTCAACGGTTCTGATGCCCCAGACCCCACATCTCCTGGGTAAGTGTGGGGCAGAAGGGAAGTGAGCAGAACCCAAACATCCAGAGCAATCTCTGGGTCCAGATGGTGTGTCAGAAGGAAAATGGGGATAATCTGGATCTCATAGGGTTGTTACAGAGGCAATCAATGCCAGCTCTAACCCAGACGATCAATGGTCAAGGTCATCTCTAAGGTTTGGCTCAAAGCCAACACCCTGACCCAGAGCCACGGTGTTCCTAGGAAACAAGAAACTGGTGCTGTTGTCCCGCAACTCACAGGACAGGATCATGTTGGGCTGTTTGCTTTATTTCTCACTCTTCCTGACCAAGTAATTGTTCAGGGGTTGAGAAATACCTCTCAGTGAGAACACTCTTCTTAATGCCAACTGTGGCAAAGTAATAGCAAGACGTAAAAGACAAGCCAACTGGAGCAAGAGAAGTTGGAAGAGAGAATGCAAGAGAGAATACCTTTGACCAGCTGGATGCCTGTGGATTACCCATCTCACTTCCTCTGAGGCTCAGTTTCCTGGGTATAAAGACACCGGCCTCAGAGGTTTAGACGAGCATTAGCAGAGATGGAGCGTGTGGTGTGCCTGTGTACTTGCTGGCCCAGGGAGGCAGTAGGGATGTGGACTTCCACTCAGACCCTCCCAGGACAGAATCCTGCC